ACTTAGACATTTTACCAAGCCAACTTTAACTGACATAGGGTGATACAATTTGAATTCGAAGTAACCAGTTAGATGTGAAGACTTTCTGTAGACACTAATTTCTTAGAGTTCGTTGCTTCCCAGCATGACTTAATAGCAGTACGATTGTGGTAACTAAAAGCTCAAACACTTGGTACAACAGATTGATTCCACTGCGGTTATCACAAGAGGATTTCATCGTATACTTAAAGTCTGAGATAGCCAGAAATACACACCAGCTGCAACGCACCATCATTATCATAAATATCAACATAGGACCAGGCATTGCTGCATAATGGTCCAAGTTGTCACACTTCATTTCATTACATCAAGCAACAAACCAATAAGATGAAAGACAAAAAAATAGAGAAAAGACGGTCAAAAGTAATAAAAGAGGAGGAACGAGAAAATACTGAGTCTGGAATAGCGATTAAGATAATGAGTGATTACATCTACACCACTGACAGCCATTCTCAGCCATATCATCTAGTCTGCAACCACTGGCTTCTTTTGCCGTGTGTACTCTAAGTGGCTAGTCTGCATCTCCATACAGTGCGCAAAACAACATTCAGAGTTCATGCAGTGATGCTATGCTCTAGTCAGGCTACCCCGAGCATTTTCCAGCCTGAACCTACTTCAGACAACATTTTGCGATGACGCAGACGGAAACTAGGCATACGTACACATCCTACTCATCTCAGTGGATGAAGGTTAGCAACAGCACCTAACCTCTCCTGCCTAAGACTCCACATCTGATTTCTGCCTAACTGAGGTGGTGACACTGTGACACACGACGTATGCTACCAAGGCAATGGTAGTCGAACACCTGAAGCTTCTCATGTCTTCTGCCTTTAATCGCCATGTTTCACAGCCATAGAGTAGAACATAGCGGGCTGCAGCATGTTACACTCGACCCTCAGTAGACAATCGGGTGTCACGGCAGCTCCACAGATGGCATAAGTCGGCGAAAGCCGACCCAGCCTTTCGTATCTGTGCAAAGATTTTGTCGGCCACTGACTAACGCACCATGGTTGGTCCGACTTCCCATGTAGGTAAAGTGTTCAACGCTCACAACCGCTCCACTATCCATTATTAGTCGGAATGCTGTTGAAGATCAGTCGTGGAGTAACATTTTACATTTGGATAGCGAGGAAAGTATCTCAAACATTCTCAAAACCCCACTAAATTGTCCAGACGACTGTGCATCCTGTTAGCGTTTTCACCTAACAGAACTATGTCAACTGCATATTCCAGATCCTTAGTCTTCGCTACCCACCACTTTTGGTGGTTATTGAGTAGTAGGCTTTTGTCAACCTATATTTGAGTTATTTACTTTCCTAATAGGGCTTGGAGACTGCAGAGATGTGTACCTGTGTGCTCATTTATTATTAAGAAGTTGTTGAGACCCACTGACCTCTTTTAACCACTTTCTGAGAGTCAGTTTACTGTCTTTAAAATATTTAGGAGGCAAACTGGAGGTAGAGCCAGGCTTTTCCTGGATCTATGATGTTTTTTCCTCCTTTAGTCAGTTACTCGCTTAAAGCAGTACTAATACTTTCATCACAGAGCTTCAGACGCAGTAGTCTTGTTACTATATTTTTTCTATGTACATTTTAGCGCAGATAAACATGCATTCGAACCAACACATGGGCGCTGTCCAAATACCCGCTACGTAGAGCGAAATCATCCACAAACCCTTTCCAGCGACAGCTAGAAGCAATGTGGTCTTTGTCCAATGATGAGTCAAGTTTCCTAGGAGCCAGGTCAAACAATGTACGTCTGGATTTCATGCTGACCAGAAATAGAAGGTTGTCTAAGAACAGTTAAAGCAGGTGACCGCTATAGTCTGCTCGTCCGGTTTGTGATTCCAAAAGTGCCTTCCAACCAGCCTACCGACCACTGCATCGAAATCACGTGCTACAATAACCACGCTTGGATGTTTAGGTTTCAGTAGGACGGTAGACATTTTTCTGTAGAAGTCATCCATCACTCCTTTCGAAATGCAGTCAGTAGATGTGTCAGCATAGATTAAAATGAGATAACGGCAAGTCTAAACATTCTTTCCAGTCCTCAATGTACTACTCAGTCAAACAGCGCACAATCGACTTCCAACGGAAATTCAGTTGAGCTGAGCACTGTTTGCCTAAGGACTTAACGCTTTACATGCACCGGCAAGACCGTGAGAACAACCTGCAGTCTTGTACATACTTCTTTTGAACGAATAAAGATAGCTTGAACTTTCGAGCCGTTAATGCTACAGCTATGCCCAGATGTCTTAGCCTCATTCTTTCAGGGTCACTTTCCATGTTTTCCAATTTGGCATAGAGTTCGAACGTTGTAAGCTCCTACATGAAGTAGATGACGGGGTCTTAGGAGACCAAGAATAAGGTTTCGATAGCTTTGATTGTTAGCAATGGTTACAGAGTGAAAGGTTGGGAAAGATATAAGGGGCTTAATATTATTGTCAGGAGATGAAGGCGAAGCAGAAGACAAAGTTTAGGAGGATGGATTATGTTTGATTCCTTCATGATGCCGCTTAACCCTCCACATAATACACATGTATTAGGCAGAGGAATGAGAGGCTAAACGTGCGAAGCAGTTGCAATATAGGCACCTAAGAATAAGAACTCTTGAAACAAAATGTACGTGTATGTCACTTCCTTCGCCAGATGCAGACCTGAACGTAGAAATTCATATTACGTTTGAGTTTTTCGTTGCTTGTATATGCGCACGGGGCAAACGTTCGGGTTAGTGATTGCTACTGGTTTCTATAGCTAACCTAGCCTTTGTGCCAAACATCAAGGTTTATAAGGTTCTAATGGTAAGTTTTCCCCACACATTTGCCACGAAACCAATACATTCTCACCATATACTGAAGAAACAGAAGACAACTCGACGAGAGGATGTTTATTACGAACAATTGGAATGGTAGTGGTTACATATGCTACTCCTTGCACCAACACAGCCATCTGCAAATGTCTTCGTTTCCTCCCCGTTCCTGTCTTGATTGCTCTTGACCGGCTCTTCATACACTCTTATCAGCGGCATCCCCTGTAATACGTCTGTGTTGTCCCCTGCGTTGCTCTTGGCAGAAACCTTACCCATTGCCGGTAATTTTTTCTATGATTCCTGCCACTCTCTCGATATATACTACTCATGTCCGTTGTTATCAGCAACGCCCACTACAATACTACCGTGTTCGCTTGTCTTCTTTGTTAACTTAATCACAGTGAGAATGCGTCGGTGCACCACGAGTAACGCAGCAATACTGCATTGTATTTCTTCGCATCCTGACCCAATACGCCCAACGTAACCTAGTGGCCAGGCTTGCATATCACAATGACCCAACGAGCAATGCTAGGGGAACGCCGTCAGACTGATTCACTTCAATGATCATTCTAGTCTATAAGAAAGGAGAGCAGTCTTCTTGTGACACCCATAAGGGGATTGGTTTGACTAGCATTGTGTTCAAGATCCCAAAGCCCATAATTATCCGACGCCTAACTGGAGCTCAAGAAAACCAGACCTGGACGAGGGTGCATCGATCACAGTTTGACACTCCGACAGATCGTGGGACACAGGCATACTTACCGACCAGTGGCCGATGCTTGCCATATATCTCGACCTGAAGGTGGCATTCGAGTCTGTCAGCCGCGAGGTGTTGCGACAACGTCTGACTGTGAAGGCAGCATCAAGCGAGTGTGCAATGCTAATCAAAGCTCCCTAGTAGAGCTCACACAACAGTGTAAAGGATTATGTAGAGTTGTCGTCGAAATCGAAAAAGACGACGTGGATTAATTTACTCTCTCAAGGTTATCTGGTTGACTTGGAGTATGCAGACGATGTTGTCCTGCTAGGTGAAGTCGTTTATGCAATGCGCTGTCTTCTGAACGTGTTGGACCGAAATCCAAGTATGTTTGGCAAGTGTTTATCACCTGTCAAATGTGAAACGAGGTTGCTTCAGGACTGGTATGCTGCAAGTACTCCCAGATGAATGGTAGGGAGTGAAATAGTAGAATCTATCGACCACTTCACCTACTTGAAGAGTTGCATCAGCCCAAACGGAGTGGACGCTGACGAAACCTCAGCCTGGACACAGAAGGCCCGTTTGACATTTGCTAACATGCGTCTTCCGTGTCGGCAACTGGCAAGATATCCGACTATCTATCTACCGAAGGACGAGTATACCACACTGCAGTCCGTTTTGTCCTGTTGTACGTCGGTGAGACATGGCCGTTAAAAGTAGAAGAAATGAAGCTACTGCAGTGTTCGGATCATGGGTATCCATATAGCATTGCCGGAACCACAGCGTGAGCAATGCCGAGGTCAGGAGAAGGGTGTTACATAAGAAAAGCAAGTCGATTGATGAGGTTGTGAACCTTAGTCGACTGAAATGGCCTGGACATGTGCTGCGCATGCAGAGCCACCGCCTACTTCGACAAGCCATGCTAGGGGAAGTTTGATTAGGTTGGAAGAGGGTTTATGGTGGCCAGACCAAGACGTGGCACCGATTAATGGAGTCTCTTGCTGGTTGGCTGAGCCATGTGGGGAGATGTATACTACCTGGCTGGGATCCCCAAGACGAAAGAAATCAGTGGCCGAGAATTCTTGGCGATATGGCTGGAAATCGGTTACAATGGCGTAGATGTATTCACTCCTTGACGTATTCCAAAGCTTGAATACTTGCACCAACTGTTATCTCAAGATTGTTTATTCTCTAACACAACTTAGCCTAATATGATGTCACCCATTTTCTATCCTCTTGTTCTTTGTATGCTATTGTGAATTGTGACAACTTGAAGCAATACACTTGTGTGCGAGGTTCAACGTAGATTTTATGAGTCAGGCAAGCACATGTTGGGATTTATGTTAGCATACAACCAGACCTTCTCAAGGAAACGTATCTTAATGCGGTTAAGCAGACAATTTGCCAATACTGCCCAATAAAACAGTTTCGCCTCCCAAAATAAGTACGAGAACTAGTAGGAAAACAATATACAGTTTTATTTATACATCGACCAAAGTTATGTACATTTCTAAATACTAAAAACAGCGAGTCACATTCGCAAAAGTACCCAAAATAAACAGGTCATCACGCTCTATTGACTTCGAATTTCTTGTTATACAATAATCTCCGTCGTCAAACTAGGTTACAGATGACACTCAATTCGGACGAAACGAAACGTATGACAATAAGTGTATAATTATTAGGTATTTGCTTCTTCACAAGCATCAATCCAATCATTGTATACATCAATTTCTTGACTGAGATAATTAATTTTAGTTTGGAAGTCTTCTAAACATATATTACACTTGATATAGCCGATATTATTATCACGCTGTCTAGAAAAGGTTAGATTGATTAAATCAAACCTACAAAACAACTTCACAAGATCGACCATGGTTACAGAATGGACAGTTAAATACTTTATCCAGTGGTACAATAGCTTTTCGTTTTGGTGGTGGTTTATTACTGCTCCGGCGACGACCCATATAAAGTCCTTAACAGGCTTTCTGCAGCAGATTAAGGCAATAGTCTTCGGTGAATGTAACCTACAAACATGAAAAGTACAGTGAACCTAGTAAGATGGATAAAGGCTTCTGAAGAAAATAGTTTGCTGAGAGAATCAAAAACATGACCATAAGTCGGTGCTGAAATCGGCTGTACACTGAAAGAGTATGAGTCCTACATCAGGCGAAGGGTTTCATATGAACCGATACTGTTTCCGTTAATACACAGATGCCCGTTTTTATATTGAACATGATAGGATTAATCTACTGGCTGCTATACACAATATTGATTGAAAGTGAAGGACCTAGGCCCGAACTCTCCACCCCCACCCATTCGGACTAGTATAAAGCATCTTAGTTGTTGCCCACTTGTAGCACCCCTTGCTTCTCTAAGTAATGAACGAAACTTCAGAAGCGGTGGGAAACGCATTTTTATGTGCCAGCACTTCCAAATCCGGGACGGGATTTCTCATCCTTGACCACACAAGCACATTCAAAAGTAAGGCAGCAGGTTTCGAACGCTTGTCTCAGAAGGTTCTCAGGAATATCGGGTTTGCACCAGCTGTACGAACGAATACACTCTTGGGTGGTTAATAAAATAAACAGTAATGAAACTTAGTCTAGTACTAAGACTTACGATAATACACGGTTGTCCACGCAGAAGTAAGTGGTTGGTTAAACGCAAGCATTATCTCATTTCCACTTGGTCCCAACCATTGATCTTCCACAAATGGAAACAGGTCCCCGACAGGATCGCAGATCAATTAACTGAAGACTAAGATGCTATTGCCCTCGAAAGTGACAAATGCACAAGTGTAGACATGGACCTTGATCTATCTATGTTGGTTAGACGATCACTTGACACCTACAAAAGTCTTTACGCAGTTCAAGATAAGATGTTTTCTGACATTTTCAAGCTCATCTTACTTTCCCATTCCCTAGTTTTATGGGACTAGGCATTTGTCGATCAGTTGATCTTGGATACGAGAAAGTGGCATTGTGAAAGAGAAATACATAAAAGTAGTCCCTTGAACCTATAACTCACTTTTCCTGAATGCGGAGTTGTGATTCATTGACTTGGGTGCTCGACTTTCATCCAATGGATTATGGATTCGAAGCTGATTTCATTTACTGAGAATGGGATAACTAGGTAGCGTGGTATGGTTCAACAAATACTGCATATAGTTCAGTCTCATTAACTGTTTATAAATTTTAAAAACGTGGAAATTTTAGGGTAAGTTTGAAGATAAAAACAACAGATGTATTTGCAAAAGGGTTACTCATTGTCTATCTACTTAGATTTTGAAAGAGAGGACAAAGTCATGAGAAACCTGTTTTCGGATATGCATGGGTGATTAAATTCTCATAATCATCTGGATAACCCAATTGTTACGGAATACCGATGGATCAGTCTACAATAACGCAAACATTAATCACCAGGCGAAGAGTAATATTTTCATCAATAAAATAAAGGTATCTAAAGCCGTGTGGTACTGTTCATGTTATCAGTACTACAGCAAACGAATAGTCCAAAAATTCAGAACGACCTGTACGAACTGAAAACAATGCTGTTGTGGTGAAATCCCCAGACCACAGTGGTTTGAAGCTGTGGAGCAGTGGTTTAAGGAGATGACCAGCAACCACATGGTGTCAGGTATGAGCCTCGCTTCATATATCGAGGTTTGGGAAGCCAGGTAGTATCACTAGCCCTCACACAGTAGGTGTGGTTTATATCGTCTACTGCACGTATGTGCACAAGGTGGCTAAATGTGTTTCCTTACACTATTTGCCCCAAATGCCCTAGTATGCGTTTACAGCCCCTGCCAGAGGAGTCATATTCACTGTCTTCACGTAGCGTGGGTGTTTTCATAGATGTGAAAGGACGCATATGCATGTTTGGCGCTGATCACCGGGTTGATGGATACTGAGAGTCTACCTAGGGGAGTTGGAATGCCCTGATTCCAAGCCAATGGTGCTCATGAGCTCCAGGTTTCAGATGGAACGAATGGAGTACGAACCTATTTTGGTCACCGGCAACCACAGGAATGCAGCTCATTATGTTGCTCCAATGCCTAGTGGATTAGACTTTGTCAAAAAAAACCGGGGACGTGGTCCACTAAGGCAACCACCTGCTTCAGTCTGAGCGTTCGGGCAGTATCCCAGCCCTCAAACAAGAAATTAACTATGATCTCACAATATAAAGATTTTGAAGCTATTAGTCAATACTGAAGCTCTCCAAACTGCAAACTTTTTAACCGACTACTCAATATGATGTTTTTGTTATTGTTACACATGACCGGTATTTTTCCACCATTTTCGCTTCTGTCTTTATCTTCGCTTCACTCAGCTGCTCTCCATTACTTATACTTCTGGTCTGTCTGTACCATTTTGAGTCGCTAGCAAGTACCTCCCATAAAGGCTGACTTCCAACGCGATGACACAGCTATTCTGAAACCAAGCGTACCATTTAAGCTAGCCACCTTTAACGTTCGCACCTTGATGCAGATCGGATGACAAGCAGGTTTGGCCAGGACTCTCGAAAGCCTTGCTATGTATGTATGAAAGGTGCATCCAAAGGACTCCGGTGATGTGCTTCGAATAAGTTCCCTATCCGTCAGCTCTAAAAGTATGCTTTATGTGTGCTTATCCGGGGACCCTGTGGTATTGGCAGCCGACCTCGCTGGTATTGGTGTGGCACTAAGCGGTCGAACCGAATCTGCACTACTCCACTGGATCTCCATCGACAGTCATTCGTCTGCTACTAGGTTGGGAAATTCACCTAGAGTAAGAAGTAACCGGCAAGAGGAACAATCTCTGTTATCTCTGGCTATGCTCCGACGGATTATAGTCCGAATGCAACCAAGGATGAATTCTATCATCAACTGAGTGACCTATTCAACCAATTGCGCTCGACAAATATCGTAGTGCTAACTGGAAACTTGGATGTGAAGGTCGGGCCTCTAGGCTCAGAGGAGAGTCGCTTAGGTGGCAAGTGGGGACTAGTTGGTCGCAAGTCACATAATGGGGATCATCTGCAGCTTTTTGTAGATCACAACTTATTTCTAACCGTACCAACTTCCGAAACTGCCATCACCCTTGTGCTACTTGGCGTCCTCCCTCTGCAATGAGCTACCTATGGCGTAGGTACATACAGGACTGCCGCTCCATATAGAGTACTTGTCTGGACTCCGATCATGCTTTAGTGTGTTCTAAGCTCGTCATCAAAACCGTTATCCTAAACAGATCGATGCAAGCAAATTAGTTGTACCTAACATTGCGGCTTACCTCGCCTAGTTCACTAGCTGATCCTAAGCCTGGATAAAGAGGAAACGCTGGGCTAGCAACACTACCCCGTAAAACCAATTCAATCGCTAAATAAACTTCAAAGCACAAAAATTATAAAAAATAAAAATAAACTTATTCCTTGTTGGAATCGGAGACGAAATGACGCCAGTTGGTGAAAGCCTTCGGGAAGCCGATTGGCCGATGTGTCTTCTCTTCTCTCGATGTAAGCGAAAGTAAGCATAGGGACATGGAATGTTCGCACTATGTTTGAACCTAGCAAGGTTGCCCAGATTGCAAAAGAGATGACAAGGTATAGCATAGAAGTACTAGGAATCTGCGAAACCAGATGGAATGGAAGTGGAATCTCCAAACTGTCAGCTGCAGAGTCAATAATCTACTCCAATATTGTCACCCAGACGACAACCACGAGGACACTGAGTTTTGGAGTGGCTATCATGATATCCCCAGCAGTATCGAAAGCTGTCATGCAGTGGGAACCAATCTCCTCCAGCATCAGGATCATGACAGCAAGATTCAAATCAAAAGGAAGGAAAGTCACAGTCATACAAATCCTACGCTACACACCTACAAATAATGCAGACACCAAGAGAAGAAGGAATTCTATAGACAACTGCAATCAGTAATAGACAAGAACCCACCCCAGATGGCGACATCAAAATTCTAATAGGTGGGGTGATATAAAAACTGCTTCAACACTACGGTTTTAGTGCCACAAAACTTTATTAACCTCATTCAACAACTATATGACGACACTATATGCCAACTGATTCACAATGGAAAGCTCAGTGATGCCTTCGAAGTGAAGACAGGTTGACAGGTAAGACGAGGTTGCTGCCTAGAGAAGACAGAGGTGATGAAGATACCCAACCAACAATAGTATCAACAACAAGCACCAATCACCATCGATGAAAGAAATCTAAAGGAAGTTGTCTCTCTCACCTACTTATCTAGGCAGCATCGTCTCAACTGCAGGTGGCGGCACAGATGAGTATGCCAAAGCCAGGATCGGAAAGATAGCAAAACAGGCCTTCATTAATCTGCAATCAGTGTGGAGATCTAATGCACTGCACTCGGCATAAAGCGTGAACAAGATCCCGATTTTCAGCACTAAGTCAGTCAAGTCAGTGCTTTTATATGGTTTAGAGATTTATCACGTTACGAAAAGCATTTCCAGAAAACTTCAGACATACATCAACAGCTGCCTATGCTCGATACTAAAGATCAGATGGCCAGGAAGAATAAGCAACAAGGAACTCTGGTCTGGCAACGACCCAACCAAGAACCTATCGTCCAACGGATATGCAGAAGAAGTGGAGATGGATTGGATTGGGCGTACACTGAGAAGACCGTTCGCGGACATCATGCGCCAGACCAAGCCGTCAAGTGGAACGCAAAGGGGGAACGACGAGTTGGGTGTCTGAAGGTAACATGGAGGAGATCGTGCGAGAAAGAAGTGAAAGCTTCTAGGCAGTGGTGGAGCGAGGTTCAAAAACTGGACAAAGGAGAGTGAAATGGTGACGTGCTACTGAAGCCCTATATCCCACTAGGAACCCAAGGGACAAATAATAATAGAATAAAAACATTGCGGCTAAATAGTAATCCAAGCTAGATTTAAGGCTGGCTGCCGATCCTCCAGAAATTGTAGACGCAGAGAATACGTAGATCACACAGTCCTGTTGGGTGAATGGCACAGTGAGAACTAAAAGGAATAGTGAGACTCGCCGTTGTCTCTTTGTAATCTCTGCTTACACACCCACTGACTGCAGTTCAGATGAAGTGAAAGACGAGTTCTACCGTAAACTGTCTAGCCTCCTCTCGAAAGTCAAACGTTCGGACATGGTGGTTGTTGCAGGTGACTTCAATGCTCAGGTGGGTAGACTGAGTGAGGCAGAAAGGCACTTAGGTGGCACTTTCGGAATTCCGGCTGAACGAACAGATAACGGTGATCGCCTACTACAACTGTGCTCAGATAACCACCTATTTTTAGCTAGCACCAATTTCAGACGTAAGGAAAGACACTGTCTGACGTGGCGTCCACCGAGCTCAACTCAGTGATGGAAACCGATAGACCACATTGCTATTAGTCATTGCTGGAGAGGATCGGTGGAAGACTGCCGCTCCTTCTGGAGTACATACTTGGACAGCGATCACGCGTTGGTCCGAGCACGTATATGCCAGCGTCTCAATGGACGTAGAAAAAATTCGGCAAGAAAACCACTACGAGTGCGGCTGGAAAACGAAAACACCAAAGCCGTGTTCAGCGAGAAGTTGGCTAGGCAGTTGTCGGGACCGAAGACTATCACTCATCCAGAAGAAGCTTGGTGCCATCTTCAGTCTGCTGTTAAAGCAGCTCTAAACACCGTAGCCGACTCCAAAATGGTGTCTAAAAAGAGCCAGTGGATACCAGCAGCTTTTCCCGAATTAATGGATGTACGTGAACGCATCCCTGCAGGCTCTTAGTACAATGAAGAGCGAGCCCAACTTAAAAGTAGACTGATGAAAAGTCTGTGCAGCGACCGCAAACGGTGGTGGGCAGCGAAGGCTAAAGAGATGGAAAAGACGGTGGCGATTGGCAACAGAAGACAGTTATTTCGACTTATTAAGGAGACTGGGGGAAAAGGTCAACAACAGTTAGTGAGGCTATAGCGGAGAAGGATGGGTCTGCGACTCACTTGTAAGGGAGACGACTGGAACGATGGACAGAACACTTAGAGGGACAGTTTAACTGGCCTCCTGCCACCATTGCGTTGCCCGCTTTCCAGTCGGATCCTGAAAGAAACATTAAGACAAGAACCCCAACACTTGCAGAAGTCGAGAAATCTGTAAGTAACTTGAAACGAGTAAGATTAGTAGGACTAACTCCAGAGGTATACAAGGATAGTGGTAAGGTGCTTCTAGTCAGGTTAACGGAGGTGTTAACCAGTATATGGGAGTCAAATATGATCCCCTCTAACTGTTCTCAATCACTAATTATCCCAGTCTTCAAGAAAGGCGAGAAGTCCTCTTGTGATAACCACAGATCAATCAGCATGACAAACAGTGTCCAAAATTCTAGGTTCTATAATTCTTCGACTTGTGAGTGAAGCTCGTTAACAGCAAGCCGCAGAAAACCAGACAGGCTTCAGATCTGGCCACGGGTGTATCGACCAAATATTCACATCCCATCAGATTCTGGAACATAGACACGCTTACCGACGCCCAACAATAGCTGTATTTCTCGACCTGAAGGTGGTGGCATTCGACTCCGTTGATCGAGAAGTCTTATGGCAATGTCTCAGTGAAAGGCGTGCCGAGTAAGTACATCACCTTATTGAAGGCTCTCTACTCGAACACTTGCGGGCGTGTTAAAGCCTATGGTGAGATGTTCAGGGAGCTATGCTCATAGACTGGTGTCCGTCAAGGATGTCCACTGTCTTTAATCTTATTCAATTTTATCATAGATATTCTTATGGAGGTCCCCCTCTCGTCACCTGACTACACAGAGGTTGACCTGATCAAGGGAGAATTTTCGTTAGATCTAGAATACGCAGGCGACATAGTCCTGTCAAGTGAAGATGACAAGATGCAGAGTCTTCTGAACACTCTGAGTGGCAATTCGAGAATGATTGGGGTGCGGTTCTCACCACCCAAATGGAAATTGTTGCTCCAGGACTGGTCGTCGACGGTGCCACGGCTAACGATAGAGAGTGAGCGTGTCGACCACTTCACTTACCTGGGAAGTAGGATCAGGTCTGGAGGGTCAGTGGCCGATGAAATCTCTGCATTGATACAAATGGCTCGACTGGCTTTTACCAATTTACGCCACCTATGGCACCGCCATGATATCCGGTTGTCTATTAAGTGTGGGATGCACTGCACAACAGTCCGGTCTGTTCTGCTGTATGGCTGTGAAACATGGCCATTGAAGGTGGAAGACATGAGAAGGCTCCAAGTGTTCGACCACCGTTGCCGTGGTGTCACCACGTGAGTAACGCAGAAGTCAGGAGTAGAGTTTTAGAGAGAAGAGGTAAGTCGGTTGACGATGTTGTGAACGTGGATCGACTGAGATGGTTGGGACATGTGTTACGTATGCCTAGTCACCGATTGCCTCGTCACACAATGTAGGCCCAGGCTGGGAAATGGCCCTAGGTGGCCAGACTAAAACATGGCACCAATGCATGGAGTCTCTGACTGTTGGTTTGAGACATGTGTGGCGATGCATGCTAGGTGGTTGGGGTCCACGGGATAACAGGAACCAGTGGCTGGAGACTCTAGGGGATATGGCTCAGAACCGATGTCAGTGCTGCAGATGTGTACACACATTATCCTCATCTTAACACCATACCGATTCTCACCATTTTCTCGTTCTTCCTTTCTTTCTTCTCGTACTTTATATTTCCTCTGACTGCATTCTCTTATCTTCATCTTCCACGTCACCTTTCTACTTGATGTACTGATATGAGCTACGGCAACTCGGACAGTTACGCGGTAATGCCTGGTCCTATGTTGATATTGATGATGATGTTAGGTGAAAACGCTAACAGGATGCACAGTCGTCTGGACAATTTAGTGGGTTTTGAGAATGTTTGAGATACTTTCCTCGCTATCCAAATGTAAAATGTTACTCCACGACTGATCTTCAACAGCATTCCGACTAATAATGGATAGTGGAGCGGTTGTGAGCGTTGAACACTTTACCTACATGGGAAGTCGGACCAACCATGGTGCGTTAGTCAGTGGCCGACAAAATCTTTGCACAGATACGAAAGGCTGGGTCGGCTTTCGCCGACTTATGCCATCTGTGGAGCTGCCGTGACACCCGATTGTCTACTGAGGGTCGAGTGTAACATGCTGCAGCCCGCTATGTTCTACTCTATGGCTGTGAAACATGGCGATTAAAGGCAGAAGACATGAGAAGGCTTCAGGTGTTCGACTACCATTGCCTTGGTTGCATACGTCGTGTGTCACAGTGTCACCACCTCAGTTAGGCAGAAATCAGACGTGGAGTTTTAGGCAGGAAAGGTTGTGAACCTTCATCGACTGAGATAGCTGGGACATGTGTTGAGTATGCCTAGCCACCGTGTGACACATTACACAATAATGGCTGAAGTACGTTCAAGCGGAAGAAAGGATCGGAGTGGCCAGACTCAAACATGGCATAAATGGATAAAGTTGTTGACTGTTGGTTTGAGCCATGTAGGGCGATGCATACTAACCGGTTGGGGTCCATGGGACAAGAAGAACTATTGGTTGAAGGCTCTAGGTGATGAGAATCGATGTCAGTGGCGCAGATGCATACACACATTATCTTCACATTTACCGTTATACTTAATATTATCATCTCATTCTTTCGTTCTCACTCTTACTACTTCCTTTGACCGATTTTTCATTCTCCATCTTCCATTTTATTGCCTTGTTACTTGATGTGCTGATGTGAGGTGTGTGAACTTGAACCGTTACGCTTGGTCCTATATTGATCTTGATGATGATGACGATGAGAATACGTGTAGTGGGGCTTCGGAGACAAATGATTTTGAAGCCTCTATAGAAAGGACGAAAATTTATTTAAGTGGCTTTGAAGACATATACACAAATGCTTGTAGTTTCCCGAATAAATGAACCAAGCTAATTGAGGTAAAAGACATAGTCCCGAAATAATGGCTATCTCAGGAACGTGAATCTCTTCTGAAATCAGTGACACTGAAACATATATAAAGGGATTCCTTCTACGAAGTGACAGATTCACATGCAAAGGTGGTGGTGAAATCCCTTACAAGAAAATAGCTGTAGGAGCCATAGAAACAGTCACACACGAAGGTGGAACATGTAAAGTGGTGTGTTGCTGATTGCAATGTATAAAATGTTAACCTAGTCGTAGTATATCATAGTCCTGAATGTGAAGTGAAAGACTTTGTGCATAGGTTGACTGCCCGGAGAACTAAATATAAACACTTAGTTGCAGGGAGTTTCGATGCACCATCACCTGACTGGGACAGCTTGACAACAACAGAAGCACCCAGTAATATTTGATCACAAAGAATTGGGAACACCAATTCGATAAGCTCTTATACTGTACATCAGAGCAGCGAACCAAAAGGGTTATCAGCACACCCCATTAGTTTTAGATCTAGTATTCACACATGGAAATGACATAAGCCTGAACCAGCACCCTACACCGCTTGATAAGAGTGATCATCTCTAAGTCTAGAACAGCTGCATTGCGTAGGGCCTCATTCCCACTAAACCGAATTGAAATGCACACAGCAACCTTGTGCACATCCGTGAAGTGTCACACCTATTGTGTGGGGACTAGATATACTGCCTGGCTCCCCAAACTTCGACAGGTGGAGCAAGGTTCGAACCCGAAACCCGTTAGTTGAGTCGTCTTAAACCAATGGGTCACGGATTCCAGCCAACGTAGAGAAGGCAGCCAAGGCAACTACAAACTCGGTAGCATTTTTGGGAACAGAAAAATCAATCTAAAAGCCCAAATGAGTTTGTGCGGTGCTCTTTCAAACATTTGTAGGCTCGAGAATCAGACACTATCCTTCATAAATCCCGAAATTTAAAGTATACTATGACGGAGAAAAGTGTTGGAGTCTTGTCATCAACCCTGCTATTCCACTGATGAAGGAGCATTACAAAGTAGCCCGGAATAAATGCATTGCCACAATCCAGTGGTTTCGAATACGCGTCGAAACGCGTCTCGTCTAGGTTGCAGTAGGAAACGCGAAAGGGTTCATCTCCTATGAACTATACGGAAAAGACACTGTGGCAATATCTCCCTAAGTCAAGAAACAGAGACCAGCTAAGTAATGGAAAACGATAAGGACAAAGCAGAGGTTATAGTCAGACATTCCGTGGACATGACTGTAACAGTAGAAGCATCAACCTCCAACAGAATTAATTCTGTGGACACCAGCTTCAACCTGTTTAGAACAGTAAGTACTCCAGATATGGGGAAATCAGAGGGATAGAACATTTACACTAAATGCTCAGAGAACCTGCAACCGTAGCTGGTTCGTTGACCAATGTACTTAATATCCCTCAGCCAAGGGATACTTTTATGTGGCAGGAGGCATGCCATATTTGTATATATCCACAAGACAGGCTTTAAGCAACACCTGTGAAATTACAGAACGATAAGGTTGACCAGTATTGAACTTAGACTTCTAGAAACTAACCAAGAAAGCCATTACAATGCACTCATTATGAAACACCCTACTGTCATTTCCCCATTACGGCTTTCCTCCTTGACAAATCTCATAGACAAATTTGTGCAACGACTTCAGCAAGATGACCAATGGGGTACTTTAACCCAAGTTGCTCATGCAACTAGGAAGTTTCAATATCACAGGCAATTGACTGTTAGAGATCACATTTCCTGATTGGTAAAAGAAGCAAGGACCATTCCTAACTTCAGTGTCAAGAGTTCATACAAAGTGGAGTGCCGCAAAATCTGAAATTTCTCCAATGCATAAATGAACTGGGGAGCCCCATGAAATTTTCCATGGTTCTCTGAGCTGATAATTTAAAAATCTGGCGAGAAATAAGGGCGCTGATAATGTGTGCACATTTCAAGTTGATGAGAAACTGATGTGCCTACCAAAGAAGATAATTACCTAACTGTCCAACAATGGCTACACATTATTGATGCGATTCCTCCACCCTCAGGATTGACAACAATGAGCCATATTGTCAATTCGATGACAGCGCAGTACTGACTCATTACAACTTAGAGTCGAAAAATACTTGGGACAGTAAGTTGGACTTTAGAATTGATGTTCACCCCTTTACAGCATTAGTTCTAAAGTGGAAGATTGCGCAAGTAACATTTGTGCGTGAGGTGACATCCTCTGGAAAAGGTCCAGAGAACTATCTACTATGTGTTTTTTGTGATGGCCAGTCAGACTAATGTAGAACGACTTCAGAAGCTAAACCTATTCTCTGTCTCAGAGGCCAAATCGTACTAAACAGTAATTCAAGGACGAGATATCTTTTTAATCTGCCCTTCCTTATCCTGTTCGCTAGTATCAAACAATCCTAAGGATGCAGCGAAAGAGTAAAAAAAGCCAAGAATGAACCTTATCTCCATAAAGTACTGGTTGTCGCGTCATGTGACCAACTTTCGGAATAGACTCCCAAGAGAAGTGATGTCCACGTTATCAACTGACTCACTCACGAAATAGCCGGGATGATTTCTATTATCAAATCACATATCTAGAAGCTTTTGATAGGAACTTTATGTTGCAAATACATCCCTAGTGTAAAAGGGATGCCTAAATTTCTTCGGTCACCGATTAATTTAGAAAATACAAGCCATATTAGATTGCTTATTTGGTTGATACAGCGCGTAGTGACGCATAATAATTTGCTGGATGACGTCTTAAGCAGAATTTATTTCACATATTCATATGAAATGTAAGCAGAATTAAAATTCTGCTCCAAATGTCACCCGGTAAATCATACGGTCACTTTGTTTTATCAATCAAATGAACAATCTGATATGGAATCGTACCCCACCACAGTTTCCATGTTATCCTCTTACATAAGATACAACCTAACTTCAAAATTACCTACCTCCCAGTACTTAAGCTACAAATTAGCTCCAGCCTTGCGATTAACGTTGTTAGCGCGCCACCTGTCCAACATGCATTAGTAACGTAATAAACTTTGTGTTGTAGGATTAGTGAACAGTGGTTCCTTGCGTTCTACGTCTGTCTTATTGGAATACGTTCTGATTTGGAATGGTCACAATTATCTTCCCGGTTCCGAAAAACCAGAAACGATAGTAATAAACGACTATAAATTAATCTGGTCTCAAGGTAGTATTACTGCATCTGATCTGCAGATGACGGAAAACTTCTCCAGTACAGCCCATCGGTACCGTAGGACTCAAGGTGTGCATCTAACCTCCTTTCAAAAGTATCAGGGGACGGGACTGTAGCAACTGCTGAAGGAAGGCAGTTCCACAGTTTACAGACTCTAACCGCAAATGAGTTAGCACGGATCTTTTTACATACACTCTCATGCTCTATTCTTAACGGGTGACCCCTCAGGTCATGTTTCCGACTAAAGCTTAGAAGGGACCTGTTAGGATGAATAGGAATATAGGCGATGTGGTACATCATGATCACATCCCATCTGATCCTCCGGTATCGTACTGGATACAGCTTAAGAGCGACTAAGCGGTCTGGGTACGGTTTGTGCCGTAACCCAATCACTTTCCTTGTAGCTCTTCTCCGTACCCGTCCTAGGATGGATATGTCTTTCTTTAAGTGTGGGGACATCACAAGCGAATTTTTCTCTAGATGATGGCGAGTGCACACAGCATACACTGTGGTGAAAAGAGGAGGAGTTGGACCCCCTAAAGTTCACGAGAGAAACCCCAAGACTTCATGGGCCTTGTTGGCTGCAAGGCGAAGGTGGACTGAGGCTCCTAGTGTGTCACTTAGTGTAACTCCCAGATCTTGTTCCATGTTAGAGTGACAGATATTTATTTCACTCAGAGAGTAAGGACTAGGACTGCATTTATATTTGTCAACTATCACTATCCGACACTTCTTCGAGTTAAGAGGAAGCAGGTTTTCTGTAGTCCAAATAAGGATTTTCGTAAGTCCTCTTGGAAGACCGAAGTATCTGTTGGCACCTGTATTTCCCTCCAAATCTTCACATAGTCAGCATATAATAGTGAATGTGAATTAAGGGCTCCTGGTAGGTCACTGATAAAAGCAATAAACGGTGGTGGACCCAGAAAAGAACCTTAAGGCACACCACTCAGCATCAGGAACCAATTAGATAGACAGGAGCCATCTCTAACTGACTGCAACCTGGTGTAAAGATAATCTCTAAGCCAAACTAATAGTTTTCCGTGTGCACTCATGAGCTGAAGTTTTTTACATAGGATATCATGATTTGCCCTGTCAAAGGGCTTGGAAAAGTCAAGTAAACCAATGTGAATAGTCGTCTAGTATTGATTTTTTTAAGTAAGTGATCACAAAATGAGTCATTTATGACTCTCTCCATGACCTTCGCAATTGAAGAGATCAAGGAGATCGTTTGCAGTTGGATCCACGTAGTTTGTTTCCACCTTTATAAATTGGGACGACAGCCACCCGTTTCCAATCAGTGGGTAACCTGCCCTACAGAAACGAGCATTTGAAGAGGTTTGCTAGTGGGGCGCACAGAACTTCAGTACATTCTTTGAGTACTTATAGGTGAATCCCATCAATTCGTGGAGACGTATTCGGGCCCAAATTCTTTAATATTTCCATAATTATAGACGGCTCAAACTGCATGGTTTAGGCCCCTGTGATACGGGTGTCCGACAGATGCGTGGTTTTGCCTCCCAAATGAAAGAAGTTGTTTTGGAATTCGTGAGCCAATAAGTTTGCTACTTCGGAGTTAGAATGAAGAATCTCTAGACTACTGGGATCCTGTAAACTAAGTGAACTGTTACTGTTCTGTTTCATCAGACAGTACAGTATCCCACGATTCCCTCCAGGGTTCTACAAAG